TACAAGATGCAGTCACATAAACAAACATACTTGTACATATACACTGATATATATAGTTTATATATATATATATATATATATATATATTAGTTTATATTAAATCATAATATATATTAAATCATATTTTTCAAATAAGTAAAATGATTATAGCAGTAAATATAATTTTTAACGTTTCAACTTTTCAATTTGTAACTAATTGTTTGGTAACTGATACATGAGTCTCTCATTGACCAAATCAGTTAACTCTACTTTTTGAATTTTTAGAACTCTTATTATTAAAGCAATTGATTCATTTTTTTCCTTCTTATTGGCTTTAATGCCATGAAATTCTTTTAGCTATACAAAAATTGCAATAAGAATGAAAAATTATTTTATGCATTTTACACATTTGTTAGATTCTTTAATGTAATCTAATTTAAAGCTACACTTGTAATAACAAATAAAATACATCCCACAATGTTTGTTCGATTTGCCATTTCAAAGGAAGTTTTCAAAATCAATGTATACCATTCCATCATTTCCCTTTACTTTTTGTTTTGTTTAATTTTCTTTAATAAAGTGCACTTAGAAAAAAAAATTTCTTTTTAAAAAACGTAACAAATCCAGAGGAACATATTTCTTTCCATTTTTATAAATTGAGAAAAGGAGATTACTAAAATACATTACACTGTTCATACTCAATTACATCATTGTTTATCTCTCATCTATGAATCACATACACAAGATGTTAATTCCATAATATATGAACATAACTTAAACAATGAATGTATCATACAAAAATGAAAAAAATCCGTATAAAAATATCTTTGATACGATCATGTTTCCGAATTTTAACCGTTTTCGTATTGCACCAGTTGTTCGCTTGGCTCGCAAAATTGTTCGAAGCGATCATCTTCAGCCCGAGTGCATACTACTAAATGTCTTATCACTGACACTCTAATCAATTAAAATATGCCAGGTATACTTAGAATTTACTGCGGAACCTCTTCGATATATTTTAAGAGTATGTCAACGTTATCTATTCGTTGTAAACCGAACATTTCGGACAATTGGATAACTAAGTAACGGCTGTAATTCGGAAACAAGGTCATATCGGACACATGTTTATTCACCATTGAAATTATGCTCGCATATTATTAAATATCTTTGTACACATTATATTTATATATATATATATTTATATATATATACATGTGTATATGTATATACATATGTATATATATATAAATATAATATATGTATATATATATAAATATAATATATATATATATACACACACACAAATATATTACATATTTGTGTGTGTGTGTGTGGTGTGTGTGCGCGCGCGCACACACGTATACATTATACATGTATATATGTATATATGCACACATGAATATATATGTACATGCAACATATATATACGTATCGTATATGTTCACGTAAGTATGAAAAATAAGCGTATGCAATACAACTCGATGAAAATGCTGACTGTATATCTCGTGGAAGATGGGACGTAAGAGGGGAGACTGAGAAGTCAATTGTGACTGTACTTAGCTTTGACAGCGAATGACGTACAACGAATGGGGTTAGGTACAGTCGAGAAGGCTGATCGTATCTGCTAGGTCGTCGTACATAATCTTATTTAGTCATAAATCAGAATGCAATAAATTGGCTAGCGGAATCAACCTTACGTCATCTTGACAACGCAGCGCACTGTGTGCAGGCCGTAATACCGAACAATGTGCCCGACTTTGTCAGAAAATAAGGGATATTTGATAGGAACGAAAGACAGAGGGAAGGAGCATGCGAAGAAAATGCGCATGAAAGAATGATTTGTCGTTTAAGCGTACCCGTGAACCGTAGTTCGTTTTCCGGTTCGATAAGTAAAACTTGTTCTGGCTTCACCATCCTGCCTGGCAGTAGACCGAATCCTACGGACGATTAGCCGCAACACTTTCGAGTGCGTAAATAAAACAATACAGTACCACGTCTTGACAGGTTAATCAACGATCGTTATGATTTCGTGCAACGGCACCGCTGTGTCTCGCACTCGCTACTTTCCTGGATTCCGTTGTACTAATTCTGATTTTTGTTCCGAATCGAATACGCATGCGTCACGACGGAAATTATCAGGAGTACAGCCGTTACGTCACGGAGAGACGTTACCGCGGTAATCATATTCGCTACTTCTGCACATCCCGAAACTTGAAATGCCGGTAAAAGATGCGCTGTAGAAACAATGGAATTCGAAAATATCGTCGGCTGACGGAACTAATTTTGCAATGACCATCATGTTTGACACTTATTAAAAGACACGCATCGGCATTAATGAAAATCACAATATGGAATAATAAATTTGTTGAGCGATAACATTATAAGTGTCTTAAATATATGTATACATATGAAATATATCATCCAGAATATCGTTATACGTTCCAATCCGTACTGACATCGAATTAGCTTACATTATTTTCGTTGAATATTCAAAATGTAGCTAATATTAATATCGAATATTTCAGATTTCTAATTGACGTGATATTTTTTATGTCTGATTATTAACCTCGTATTCTGTCATTAAGTTGAATCTTAACTAGACTTTCGCGTATCTTCTTGAAACGGTTGATCCATTTGTTTGTTGTGGCGCCACGCTATATACAAAAAGCCGGCTCAGCACATGGTCGTCTTTGGATTCGTATGAAAGTGACGTGATCGAATAACTTTAATATAAAAATAATTATGGAATCCTTAGTAGATCCTAATTTAAACGCAGATGTTTATAGAAATATGACTGCAGCAGATAGGCCGCCTGTTGTTGACAAGAATTTACAATTTATATTAATTCATAATGGTAACACTGTATAGGTTATATTTTTCATATTTATATAGTATAATATGTATAAAATGTTTTATTTTAAATAATAAAAAAATTATGCATATTAATTTTACATACTGATTTACTTACGTATCTCTATCTAATAATTTCTTACTAACAAGACGGTTATTTTAAACAAGAAATTTTTAGCATATTATTTTATTTACAGAAAAAAGTGCAATTCTTGGAGGTAGTAATATGACGGATCGCTATTGGAGTGGTACTATTTGGTATTACAATGATATTTCAGACTTTGATAGAGATAAAGCTTTTGTTGCCCTAAAAACTGAAAGTGTTGTGTGTGATGGTGCTGATTTAGAGCGTGATAAATTTGTAATTGGCGAAGATAGTGGAGTTTTACAAGTTTTAGGTTTAGTTGAAGTAGCTGACACACATTCGCAAGAATTACAATCCTTAGGATATGCTTGTCTACATGACGGTAGTCTTTTAACTCTGTCTGTATTTGAAGACAATACCCATTTAGTTACAGGTGGAATGGATTATTGGTAATATAATTTAAATGTTCCGGTTAAAGTACATCTAAAACGATTATTGTAGAAATATACATTTTAGTATAAAAGTATGGGATACAGCAGAATTGATGGCAATCCATTCATTCAGTTTTGCTCACACGGATATAATTACTTCTGTTGATGCACAACCAAGGAATAACACTACATTTGTGTCAACATCGTTAGATTGCGAAGCATTAATATGGGATATAAGACAATCAAATCCAGCTCAAAGTAAATACTACTAATACAAATGTACGATTACCTCTACTCATAAAAGTAAAATGTGTACTGTTATTTTGTTTTTAAGGTATTTTGAAGAAAGATTTTGGTCTGACAGCAGTAAATTGGAATACTATTTTGGATCATATTATAGCAATAGGTACTGAAAATGGGGATGTTACACTTGTTGATATCAGAAAAGCAGGCATTTCAATATTACAGGATGCAAATGTATTTCCAAGATCAGTTCATAAACTTTTATTTAACCCAAACCCCGAGAGGTAATAAAAATAGTCAAGTGATAATGCTAAATGAATAAAAAATCAGTGTATTATATAGAAATAATTATGTATTGTTTTAGATCGGAAGAATTAGCATGTTGCTGTGATGATACACGTGTAGATGTACTTGATATAAATAACAATTTTTCATCGATATATAAAAATGAAAGACATAGTGATTTTGTACGTGGACTAGCATGGTATAAAGATCAATTATTTTCATGTTCTTGGGATAATACTGTGAGCAAACATATAATACAGTCCCATAAAGAACTCTAAATAGCTTATTTCATATCACTCCGGTCATTAAAGACTATACTTTAAACTTAAGTTATGATTTTATTTGTATACTAATTTTATTACCTTTTTTATATTTGCTGAAACTGTTTATATTATTAAATGTAGTCAGTTGAACAAGATAAATTATGAAAATCTTTTTTGCTACAGCAGTTTCTTTGATTACTATTTCTTGCAAATATAAATATTATTGTAAAGATTCCGTATTTATGTTCTTTTCCATCTAAGTTTCTCATTTTATTCAAAAAGGGTAAAAATTAATTACTAATTTTTGTTACAAAACAAATTTTAGTGAATATAAATTACAAAAAACTTTCAAGTTTTAAACTTGTTCTTTTACTTTCTGCTGCAATAAACCAATGAAACATTTAAGGATCATGTATTATAGTCGAAAAATTAAATACAGAAAACAACTTTATTACTCAATTTATTTGTGTAAAATATATATTCGAAAAGCACTAGTGACATAAATAAAAAAGTTTCACAGTTTATTTTCAATACATGGGATATGACATGTATATATGTCAATATAAAGAAATTACAAATAAGTCGAACTTCTAAATTACATAAATGCTGACACTTCTATATTTCAAATGTTTTTAACTCAACCATTAATAATATGGTAATTCTAAGTTGTTTCTCAAAATTTAAATATTTATTTTATGAACAAGCAGAAAGGCTTTTTCATAGATATTCAATCAAATTGTATGTGAATACAATTATCCTAAGAAACGGTTAATATGATTCGTCAAATGATTTAATATCATAAAAGGGAAATATATAGTATTATAGACAAAGTACAAGTCACTGTCACCATAAGTATATGTCCAGGGACAAATTATTGTGGATTTCCTACGTTCATGATAATAATTACTTTAAAAGTACCTTTTCTCTTTTTTATCCTTTTTTACAATATATTGGTTTATTTATATATTCGTCTCAATTATTAAAATATTGTTCACATAATAAATTCTTGCATCAGCAAGCTTATGAATTCTTGATTGTAAGGTATAAAATTTCATAGAATAAACGCTTATTGGTATGATGCCCATCTAATTATTTCGATCTTTTAAAATTCATAAAAATGTATAAGATTCTACTTTCTTTGTTCATTGATATTCATTGTTCTTTTCATTCTTAATGAGTTTATATCTTGAAAATTGTGTGCAAAATCGTAGATGTGAATCACCTACAAGTTAATCTTTCTTGTACATAGATACATGTTGTGTATAAATTATATCCATCTATTTGGATGTAGATAATGTTAATTCTATTCAGTTTCAAAGTTATGATGATTATTTCATTTTACATATGATTCTTTACGTTAATAATTTTTATAAGGAAAGTATAGTTTGATGCTACATTAAGTGTTTATAAAATGTTAGTGGGAAAATGAGTCAATTATTTCTGTATAAATGTCTAATTCTCAGTGTTCACAGTACATACATAACAATATGATGAATTGAAAACAGAAAAAAGAAAAGTTTGGTTAATATAATTAAAGAAAAAAAATCTTTGCGCATTAATCCAGTTTTTATGAGTAGAAAGCGGCACCAGTTATTTAAAAAAATGAATTGATTCTAAATAACAAATATAATTATATAATATTTTTATTGGATGGTGATTTATATGTACATATAACATACATATATTTTCTTTAATATCTTGACTATTTAAGTAATGTTTTACTGATGCCACTTTTATTAAAAATATAAGAATATATTTTTTTTTCTTGATATGAGCTCTTGTACACTTAAGTTAAATGAATATGTTCGACAAAATGTACAATTATGAATTTTATAATCATCTGTATAATTCGTAGTGATTTTTAATGCAACAGAAAACACGTACAAAGAATGATTTTTTATCTGCATCAAAATGTAAACAATTAAAAATAAATTGCACATAGATCACGTAAAGTTCTGATTGTTTGTATACGGTGTTACCAAAATTCATAAGTAACAAAACTTTACACTGCGATATAAGATAATGAATAATGAGAATATATTATGTAATATATTATGCCATTGTTTCGTTTAAAAGTAACAAAATTAATGAAATTGTTATGTACAATTCATACTTTTATGTAATGAAATATAATTGCATCATAATCAATGCAACATGTAACTCTCATATGGACATTTATTAGTTTCCGTAAATCTGTGTGATAGATTCTTAGATATTTATGTACTTTATAACATGATGTCTTTTTCCCTGTATTAATCACTTTTTTAATCAATTCTTGAGCATTTTTACAATCCAAATTGTTTCTCATCGTCTTCGCGTATGTCACCGTATCTCCAAATGTTCCGCCGGCTATGTTTCGCATCTTCTTCTGCTTTTTTATATTCTTCGATCTAAAATGAAACAATAAAGTAATAAACAAATAAATATTTACTTACATAATTATAAATTATATAAACGACGAACTAACCAATTTAGTAAGTCTCCTGTCACGTTGGTTCAGCACGAGTAACAATCCATCAGAAATAAGTCCTTTTGCAATATCTTCGTTAGTAGAAGACTCAACTAATGTTACTGCAATAACATTGTTAAGTTTATACTCTATATTCATTAATAAAATTTTATCCATTACATCTTCCTTAAAGGCTTCAACTGCTACTTTCTCGTCGTCGGTCTATAGGTATTTAAAAAAAAAAATGATTATATAATTTATAGTAGTTAGGATATTGTATATATTATAGCACTATTTATATCTGTTATGTGTATTTTAATGTATATATACAAATACTTACGTCGCTCGGAAGTGAAACACAAGCAAGTACATACTCGTGAGCGTAAGGTTTGTCAGTAGCAAACCGTGATGGCAAGTCGGCGAGTCTTCCAAGATTAACTGTTTCTCTGTTACCATAGTCAATGTAAAATACACTAATATTCGTACCAGAGACTTTTTCTATTTTAACACGGTACCATTGATCATCACCAGTAAATTTAGCAACTGCTAATTCACCTCTGACAGGTTTGTAAGCACCCGAAAGTGGAGGATTAGATGACAACTCTTGACGTAATTGTGAAAGCAAAGTTTCCAGCTGACTACGCTGATCAACCTTTTGCACGTAAAAATGAAGATCGTTAGTTACTTCAGAAATCACTACTTCTTGATAGTCTATCTTTCTTTCAGCAACATCTTTATCATTTTCATTTTTCTCATTTTCTACTTGTACTTCAACATAATTTTTCCAAATCTGTAACATAATAATATGTATAGAGTTAATAAATTAAACAAAGCGTTTTTAAATTATATATACATTTTTTTACGATACTTACATTCAATTTCTTTGTTTTGGCACGTTCTTCAGCTGCTTTAAGCGTCCTAGTTACTTCTCCGAAGTCGGGGAAGGTGAGCACTTCTGCCAGACCTTCTTCAACAAGAGCAACAGACATGTTAAGATCATTTACGGTCAACCATCCAATAAAACCACTTCCTTTTGTTTCTGTACTTTCAACTTTAATTTCCACATCCCTTTGGAAGCAATGTTCTCTGGTAAAAGCTAATGCTTTCTCACCATATTCGTCAGCTTTAACTATACCACCACCTGGAAGCGATCTTTGACATCGAGGGGTTCTTATACCAGCTAACACAAATGTAATAAGCTGGTCTTCTTTTGGTAAAAAGAGTTTTAAACGAGAACCGCTCGTAACGAATTCAACCACGGCTTTAATGCCCTGTGCCCGTTTAAAGGATGTTAAATACGATTTCACTTTGGTAGGATCATTAGAAACATCTACTAATCGATGCACGGGGACATCTTTCTTTGCATGTAAACCATGTTGAGATTTTTCTGCTTTGCTTTCAGCAATTTGTAGCAAATTATAATGGGATGATCGTTGGTCATCGTTTTGTCTGTATTTAATTACTCGCGCCAAACCTCGTGCAACCAATGCTTCTGCAATATTACTAGACAACATATATATAAAAATTAATAACAATTATTATTATAATTCGGGTAAAATAAGAAAAGAATAAAAAGCATACGTTTTCCCACAAGTAACAGTGCAACATAATTTCTCCGGAAAATTATCTCTTGCAGGCTGAGTATAATCTACAACAACTTTTACGTTTTTTCTAATGAATTTTTCACGCAAAAATTCTCGAGCTTCTAACATCCACGGGATGTCATAAAGAGGCTTGAAATCTTTTCTGCCCATATTATTTGGTTCTTCGTTCGGCTTTTTCTCTCTGGATGGTGGTCGAACACTGCTCAAAAAGACTTTCTTGTTTTCTCCATTTTGTGTTCTGATTATAAGCGCATCTGCATTCACAATTTCAACAACAGTACCGGTGAACTCTATTTGTGGGCCTGATGGTTTGTAATCTTTCCACAAACGCAGACGCGCTTCTTTTGCAGCTTTCTCTGCAAGATAAAGCTTTTCTGCGCCAGCTCTACTATTGCTAATTGACCAATCTTGGCACTTGGCAAATCCTTCATTTAATAAAATCTCTGCAATATTTCCTATGGAATAAAAGAAAATTGAAATATTAAAAACTGAAATGCAAATTATTTGATTTATTTAAATCAGTTTAAGAACAAGTACTAACCCTTTGGATGAAGAATACTTCCAATGAAATTATTATTATTAACAGACTCAAGTACAATTTCAACATCTCTGTGTAAAAGGCGAGATTCTACAAAATATCTTGCTTCATCTGCGTAAGGATCGCCTGCTGAATTCTCACGTCTTCCATATGGCCAACCAGGACATCGAACACCTGATATCATTAATACTATGTTGTAGAAATCAGGTAGCAAAAGTGCTTTGACTGTTGAACCGTCAAAAACAAACTCGATGATAGCTTTCACCGGCTTCTTCCCGAATTTTTCAACCAATTTTCGGGGATCATCTACAGTCCATTTAACATTGCGTATATGTTCAGAAGACGGCGCCTCTGACCATTTTCCTTTTTTAGCTATTTTTGCTGCATTTTCTAGCTCAATTAATCGTGTCTGTTCTGGGCTAGGATTTCTAGTATCTTTTTTTACAGTTACTAAACCCTCAGAAACTAATGTTTCAATAACATTTTCTCCATTTCTATCTGTAGATAATGAATGTAGATGTGAATTATAATACATCGTAAATAAACAAATTTATATATGAAGCAGCCGTACCTTTTCCTAGCCACACAGTACCGTAAGTTCTATTTGTATTAATAGACTTCTCTGTAACAAATGCTACGTCCTGACCAATTAGTTTCTTACGTAAAAATTCTCTTGCTTCCCAAGCATATGGTTCGTCTCTGCTTTCATCAGTGCTACAATATATACCATTATATAATAAATTTGCAAAAAGTTATACAATATTTATATGTACCTGTCATTTCCTTTCCATCGTTCTAATTTTGGAGCAGTAATATTACAAAGAGTGATTGTAATTTCAGGAGGTGGGCCACCCATAGGCTGACCACGGATAACAATAGTATCTCCCGAAGTAACCTTAAAATATAAAAATTTTACATCAAAAAGCAGGATAAACAAATTTATTCTCAATTTGTAACACATTATTATGTACGATAGTAGCATACCACCCTACACTGTGATACTTTTCATAGAAGATTAAAGGGATAAACTTTATTTTTGAGATCTTTAAAAATTCAACTGAGTCAAAAGAACATGAGATGCAACTGTACGTACCAGTGATGTAAAATATTTTCTTAAGGAAGTAGTGGACATCTATTTGCTTATTAATGAATTACTATTCAAAAAATTTACGTATAGAACAAAAATACTTAAATGCAAGGACCATATGTTTTCGGTATAGATCTTTCGCTCGAAGTGTGTTAAATATGTCGCATGGACGTCAAAATAATAGGTTATATATAACAGTAATCACATAAGTTATATTTATTTTCTTCTGAAAAGTTCGCCAAGAAACGGATTCCTGTAAAATTCAAGATACCTCACCTGTTTCACTACTCCTTTTCTTGGTTTCACTTGCCCCTGGGGTGCGCTCATCGTGTCGTTCGTTTACTATGTTAAGCACCAAGAAAAAATCTATAATATCCCAGTCAGTACCTTCCCAGGTGAACTATTCGATGAACAGAATTTTCTGCGCGCAAATCTTTACTTTTCTTGTAAATATTCGTCTGGAATTTAAGAAAAATTTGACATGTTGGACCGGAGTAGAGAAACTCACGCTTTCCACGTATTGTGGAGGAGTCGGCACGAGCGCAATCTACACAGAAACATCGTCCAAGTACGTTTGATTTGGTGGTGATGTGGCAACACGCAACACTTCGACAACTATCAGTGTCGCGCTCTATCGGTCAACCTGCATCGATAGCCTGATCGGCAGAAAAAGTATTGAAATATTTTCGTTCTAGAATAACACACGGAGATTATTTGTATTTTTGCTGATTTAAAATTTAAAACTTTTCAAAGACCCTTCTTTAAATCAGGATGAGAATTTCCTATTTTAAAACTATTTGTGATAAAGAATTTCGTAGAAATAGGTATACTTCTAAGCAGTTAAGTTATTAAGTCAGGTGCGAACATAAATAATCCACGTGTACCACCTATGCTTAAAAAATATAAATTTTCTATTTTCTAATATATATATATTTATATATATATACAATGATACCAAAAATACTTTATTGAATAGATAGTTAATGATTGGTATAGTATTCATGTAACTCTTATTACGTTTATGTACTGTAACTGTTTTAAATAAAAAAGATGTTTTTATATTACTATTTTTGCAATGCATTATAAGATAAAACTTTGTAATACTTTGAATAGTTTTGCAATACAATTGATTGTTCCAATTATATTGTCTTTACGTAAATTTTTTATTTTATAAGTAAGTAAATTCCAAGAAAATGGAATTAAAAATACATATTATGCAATAATAGCTTTAGTAGATAACTTAAAACTTTATTAAATTTTATTGAATTTCGCATTTTATTGTTGGTTAGAAACTTTTGTAAGATTTAGTAGATGAGGATCCACAGCTTACATTTGCTTTTCAAATTCCAACCTTTGTACATCAAAATCTAAAAATAATCTTTTTCAAATGTATTACTTTATTATGTTTGTTACGGATTATGAAACCTTTTTAACATATATGTATCAAAATGGCCTTAGTATTTCAAATCTTTGAAATACAAAATTACGTTTTAACTTTTTACTTTGAGATTTAATGAAAAACGGTAAATGGAATTATATTCATTTAAATCTGTAAGGTAGTTTCTTTATTTCGCACGCAATTGTTTACAATTTTAATTAGTAGACTATGCAATGATTTCACAATGGAATGGTGACAGCGTGAGACAAAAACAAATATAATCAGTAAAAAATAAATAAAAATTACACTGTAATCTCGTAAAAATGATGTAACAGAGATTTTGGGACAGAATCAAGTGGCAGGCTTCAACTTGAAGGGCAGTATCTCACACTTGAAACTGCTCTTTTATGCTTATAAATTATGTCAAATAAATATAGCAATTTTGTCATATATAACAATAAGCATAACACTTAATTCTGTCACATGAAAAAGAAAAAATGATGAATTATTTAATACTTAAGTAGAAATAATTTGTAACAGTCTTTCTACATTCTATAAGTCTTTGGATTTAGTTCAGTAATTTTAAATGACAATCTTAATCTACTTCTTCCATTCTAGAACCTTCTTGCGTTTCATCTTCTACAGGAGGAACTTCTGTATCCATTTTCTCAGTTTCTACATTTACTGTATCACCATCATCAAGGCCAAGACCAAGCTTGATCATCCTGTATATTCTGGATGCATGTATTTGTGGGTCTTCTAATGCAAAGCCAGAAGACAATAGTGCTGTTTCAAATAGAAGCATAACAAGATCTTTCATAGATTTATCATGCTTGTCTACTTCAACCTTTTGTCTCAAATTCTCCATAATTGGATGGTCAGGGTTGATTTCCAAGTGTTTTTTAGCAGCCATATATCCCATAGTCGATGTGTCTTTAAGTGCTTGAGCTTTCATGATCCTCTCCATGTTTGCTGTCCATCCATATTGTGAAGTAACGATACAACATGGAGAATCGACTAACCTATTAGATATAACAACCTTTTCAACCTTCTTATCTAAAATGTCTTTCATAACTTTACATAGATTTTCGAATTTAGCTTTATCTTCTTCACGTTTCTTCTTCTCCTCCTCATCTTCCGGAAGCTCCAAACCTTCTTTTGTTACAGAAACCAGCTGTTTGCCATCAAATTCTTTCAACTGTTGTACAACATATTCATCAATTGGTTCTGTCATGTACACTACTTCGAAACCACGCTTTTTAACCCTCTCTACAAACGAACTGTTTGCTACTTGCTCTTTGCTTTCACCAGTAATGTAGTAGATGTGTTTTTGATTTTCTTTCATTCTACCAACATAATCCTTTAGCGAACACATTTCATCTCCAGAAGCAGAAGTACGATACCTAAGCAACTCTGCAAGCTTCTTCCTATTCTGACTATCTTCGTGAATACCTAATTTCAAATTCTTGCTAAATTGTTCATAACATTTCTTGTAATTTTCTTTATCCTCAGCCAGTTCTTCAAAAAGTTCCAAGCATTTCTTAACAAGATTCTTTCTGATAACTTTAAGTATTTTATTTTGTTGTAACATTTCACGAGAAATATTCAATGGAAGGTCTTCACTATCTACAACACCCTTAATGAAGTTAAGATATTCTGGAATAAGGTCTTCACAATTGTCCATAATGAATACTCTTCGCACATACAACTTGATATTGTTCAATCTCTTCTTGCTTTCAAAAAGATCAAATGGAGCACGCCTTGGAATAAAAAGCAATGCACGAAATTCCAATTGCCCTTCTACAGAGAAATGTTTAACAGCTAAATGATCATCCCAGTCATTGGTCAAGCTCTTGTAAAAATCACCGTATTCTTCTTGTGTAATATCATCTGGGTTTCTTGTCCAAATTGGTTTTGTCTTATTGAGTTCTTCATCTTCTGTATACTTTTCTTTAATTGTCTTCTTTTTCTTCTTTTTCTCATCCTTCGGTTTATCTTCATCGTCATCTTCTCCAACTTCCTCAATTTGGAGTTTGTCCTCATCTGTCTTTCCTTCTTCCTTTTCGGGTTGTTCTTCTTCTTCATCGTCGCTTAATTCTTTGTCTCTTTCTTTTTCAACAACAAGTTTGATTGGATAACCGATAAACTGCGAGTGCTTTTTCACAACTTCCTTAATCTTTGATTCTTCTAAGTATTCTGTCTGATCTTCCTTAATGTGCAAGATGATCTTTGTGCCCCTTCCAATTGGTTCACCATTGTCTGGACGGACAGTGAATGAACCACCAGCAGAAGATTCCCACAAATACTGCTCATCATCATTGTTCTTTGAGATGACAACAACTTTATCAGCTACCAAATAAGCAGAATAGAAACCCACGCCAAATTGACCAATCATAGAAATATCTGCACCAGCTTGGAGCGCTTCCATAAATGCTTTTGTGCCAGATTTAGCAATAGTGCCCAGGTTGTTTACAAGATCAGCTTTAGTCATACCAATGCCACTGTAATAAATAAAATTTAATAACTTATTTGTATTTTTACAAAAGTTTATTTCTTTAAATTAAAATTAAAAACAATGTTTTTCAAAAGAATCATGTAATTTTTGTAAATTATAATTTAGAACAAAATATTATACAATAAAAAATAAAAGTAATACTCACGAGTCTAAAATAGTCAAAGTACGATCATTCTTATTAGGAATGATTTTAATAAATAATTCTTTGCATGTGTCAAGCTTTGATGGATCAGTAAGAGACTCATAACGAATTTTATCCAAAGCCTAGAACAAAAAAAATTAAAATTACTTACTATCAAGTAAAATATTCTATAAAATTGTTTACCAATTTCAGTTTCCTTCGAAATACAAACGAGCAGTTTTGATTTGTAAATTTCATCAAAGTTTATGTTTCAATTAAAAATAAATTTTACTTACATCAGATGCATTTGAGATTAATTCTCGAATAAAAATTTCTTTGTTGGAATAAAAAGTGTTGATGATTAAGCTCATCAACTGTGCAATTTCGGCTTGAAAGGCGAAAGTTTCCACTTCGCCGGTATCAGCCATTGTTACGTCTTCAGGCATTTTCGTATTTAATACAATATCAATTAATACCAAAACACAATTTTACACTACAACAAATGTGTCCACACTGTTAACGTCCACGATTATTTGCACTTCTATGCACTGAACAACGTATCTTCTCGTACGTTTTCCGAGGATCCGCTTCTTGCGCTGTCACTTTTCAAAGTATTGAATCCTGCCGCGCTGCAGCTGCTTTTATCGAGCTTTGAAGATTCTAGAAGGGATTCAACGGAAGTTTGTTCCGTTTTCTAGAATATTCTATCAAGTGTCTTACCATAGTTATACTTTATTGGTAAAAATATACGCAATATTTAATAAGAATAATCTCAGAAATTTATTATATAAATTTAAGGATTATATAATGTATAAAATTGATAGGGATTAATGCTGAAAATGAAAGAAAATTACTCACTATTGACTGCAATCACGTAGTAATCGGAAGTGGTGACATGTTGTATCTGTCTAGAAACATCGCGATACCTGGCAGCGGAGAATTAACGGCATAAAAAATATTTGATGGAATAACGTTATATACATGTACATTTTAAAAACATGTACCATACAGTACTTTGAATATTTTGACAATATTTTATAAAATTAATTTTTGTTATACTGACTTCTTAATTTTTCAAAATTTACATAATAATTATGTATCTTAATGTAAAATAATATTTAAAAAATAATGATGAACTTTATGACTAAATTTGAAATGACTGTTCTGATTTTTATATTTTAAAATATCAAATATTATTTACGAAAATATGATGCTCATTTTTTCAGTAGATATTTCGAAGAATTTTATGTACAAAAGGACAAATCATACACTATAATAATGTATAATAGTTTTACTAAACAAATTTAGCCCCAATATTTCGAATGGTTATCAATGTATTAAATATTACACGATATTTTTCAATTGTATTTTTTTTGAAATTTCTGTGCTTGTCTACTGAGATTGACAACGTGTATTTCTATTGTTAGAAGAAAATTTGAATATTATTATGAGGGTTCGTACGTTTTTTTTGTTAGTAACTATTTATTTACATATGCTAATACAACATATATATAATGACAGAACAATCAAATACGATCAATGATACCTTAGTCAACAGCCGTATTGGGACGCTTAATAAATTCTCACGTAGGCGAATTCGCACAAGAAACGATAAAATTAAGTCGTCCGGGTGTAATGTAATTTTTTATGGTGTTTAGTGTTATACTAGTGTTACCAATCGTTTGTGTGACTGTACGTACAAAAATAATAAATGAGATAAAATGAATGTTCGTAGGATGTTCTCTTAACCTTGATCTCATATTACAAAGGGAACGTAATAATAACGAAATAATGATTCTCACATAGCGATCGTATTTCTGGATAAAAAATCTTATTAATAAGAAAGTGATACATAAATGAAGTCAGGCATGTAATAAATTTTAAAACACATGTATATTCTTATGCAGAGAATGTTGGAAAATTATAAATTAGACAGGGTTAGATACTTTAATAGTTTATTTTTTTCCTTAAAAGAGTATTACTTTCTACTGTCTACAACGTAATCAATATTAAAAATCATTCAATTTTGCGTCAAACATTGCTATATTCATTTATTTCGAGTTCTTTCTATTTCAACCATAATGCATGAACATTGCAGTTGGTATGTATAGGAGTCCTGTGCAATACAACTTCCTATCTACAATTCTGAAATACCGACAGTGTTAAAAATCACAGACTTAAAATACGTAAAGTGCAGACGTTGCAGCTTATGAGAATTTTCGTTTAGGGCTTTGGAGGACCTCAGGACCACCGTACCATTTCGGTGTCGCGCTCGATGTTATCGATAATACAGGATATGGCTATCTTGTTAGTAGAAATCGAATTAGCTACATGCTTTATTTCTGTTACGAGTGTTTTACCACAAACGAAGACCTTGTTGTGTTACCATTATCTGATGTTATTACTAGCTTCGTTTTGTCAAGATACTTCTAGGAGACATTAGATGGCAGCACTCTGCACTTCAAATGTATGAAGTAGTCGTAAGATGCAGCATTCATTAACATTCAAGAATAAGAAAATACATTATCTATTCAATCTGTTTTATTTTGAAACGATTACATTTACCAATATTATTTTTGGCCATCGGTATTTTCTCACATCACGTAGCCTACTTGCACTGTGTTCACAGAACAATACGATGTTGTATTTCACGATGTCGGTCTTCAGGTCTGACATCTCAGTGTCGTATTTGTCATTAATATTATAAGAAGGTATGTAATAAGAATTGAAAGTATGTTTGCCGAATAAGAATAGCATAGAGAAGAATGTTGTTTTTACCTATTTTACGCAGATATGTATGCTTGTACACTAATTTTGTATAGAGTGATCATTTCAAAATAATCTACATAGTATACGCAATGAAACAAACCTATCGATTTGTATAAAACGTCATTGGCAATTTTGGAACAAAAACATCTCGATGTGCATGGTACCTAAGTAAAGTCTTCCCAGCGCAACAGGTTAACGAAGTATTACAAAGTTTTAATGAAGTATGATAATGTAAGTGACAGTTGCTTAATAAAATCGGAGGACAAGTTCCCAGAGAAATCAGCTGTTGCCCGACAAAGAACTCTTTCTGGTATCACGCCGGAACGAACATTTCGAGCAAAGCCAACGTGCATGGGCTTTCACCAGGACGGGCCGTAGCTGCGGGCTACGATCCACGTTTTCTCTTCTTTCAGTTACGGTTCGCTTTTGCTTTCTTTTTCCAACACTGACGACTTATCGCTTTTGTTTCTCGCCTCTTTTCACGTAAGGAATATATCTACTTAAGTATCTACGTACATGTTTCATAACAGTGAACGAAATTGTATGCAACATGTAAACAAAAAGTCATTTCGAATAAATGAAAAATTAGCTGAATTTTTCTTTGTTCATCTACAACTGGAATCGCTGAACAATGAGGAGCAACGACTTCAAGGTAACGATTATTTTTGAAAATGAATATTACGTTCCTTAACACGTTAACGTAAATGCCGTCTATAGCCGTCCGATGCTCGTGAATGTAGGTGCAAATGACGGTAATGGCTGCTCTATATTCTTAGTATTATAAATGAAAAGATATAGTAATTTTATTCTGAAAGTATGAAATCTTGATTGAACTTTCCAAGAATCAACTAACTAACAAAACAAAATTGCTTTTGTCGCCCATCACCGATTTCAAAGTGAGCGTCAATGTGTTAACCTACACCTTTAAGTGATTTAAACATTTAAACTTACTTAACTATTCCAAAGATTCGCAGATCGCTAGAGTTTACTATGGTTTATTTTTATCTATTTCAGTATTAACATTAAACTCTAATGGAAATGATGACAAGTCGTGCATAATTATAAATTATGAAAGAAGGCACGTAGGAATACATGAAAATATGCAGATAAAGGCCTACAAGAAAATTAACGCAAAAGATCGACAGTGTCCAACGAACTCATATATGAAAAATGATTATCATATATAAATGGAATTTATATATGAAAAATCAAAATTTCTCACAGCGATTTTAATAATTTCCTTCATTTAATATGTCAATGAGGAAATTAATTATTAAATTTGCACAAACAGCTGCACCATCCAAATTCGGGTGTTATGACGGTTAAAGTGTTAACGCATAGTAGGCTAGACCAAGGTGAATGGGATCATGGGGTGAATCGTGTTGAAACGAGAATCTACTCCACATTTATCGTATCGTAAATTATATTTCTCGTTACTTAGTTTCTATTCGCAAGAGAAACATTTCAAAATTCATTTTCGTTTTTAATAATTACTGTTTAAGTATTCTCATTTCTTTACAAGGAAAGATGATTCGACTCGCCTCGGACTACTCTATAATTTTATTTAATGCTCACAATTTAATGCTGACAATGTTGACGACCGATGAAAGACTTTTAAGCAGACGTGAACGAACTTCTGGTTTTTTAGCGGTTAAACAAAAGTTCGTCAACGGAGGACAAAGCGGCCGCGCGCGCTATTCGTACTCTGGTTATACCTTGGCGGGTAAGGGAGGCGGAGGAGGGAGAGAAGAGAGAGAGGACGGTCGTCAGTAACTCGGCGGCCAGAGAAAGAGGAGGAAGGCCAGCAAGGATGGTGGTGATCGGGGCTTGGATCCGCGACTGGCAGTTCACGGCTGGTAGTCAGCGGGCAGTGTCAGTTAGTCATTCAGCCAGCCGGTTGTCTGCTCCGATGGCAGAGCTGTTGATCGCGCCTTCGATCACATCGTCATGATCCTGCCGCGCGTCCCGACACGCACCAGTCTCGACCGTGTTCTCGTCGTTTGACTTTGTTTTCTTCCTCGGGCCCGTCGATTTTCCATATAATTCATTGTCCCATGGACTGGTCCGGGAGACGGGGTTGATCGTCGAAAGCGCGAGTGTCGGTTAAAAAAGAGAGCGAGCGTTTCAAAAGTGTGTGCGGATGCGAAGGGGAACGATCCTTTCCACCGGAGAAGTGACAAAGTGAGAGGAACCGCAGCGCGACCTTGGGGAGGATCTCGAGGAGGACCTCCGCGAAGAGGTGTCTCTGACTGGAATAAAGCGACGTAAAGGCGACCACGGATGGTTAATGTGAGTACGATCCGCCGCAAACGCTGTCACTCGTGGCTTTTGTATTAACACATTCGCTGCCGGGGAAATCTAAACCTCTTGCCTTGGGTGCCAAGAATTAATTTTAAAAAGACAACTTACTGATATACTAGGCACTCGCGGCACATACCCTTACTAGGGGGTATCTCGTATTGACATTAAATGGAGTAACCGTTTGAGTCCCAAGACTTTTGAAACGAACACTGTCGAAAGGACCCAAGCAGGACGGATAACGATTGGCTTAGCTCCTGTAGACAAGTGCTAAGTAGCACGATAATGCTTTTTTTATTCGACCAAAATGATTGAAAATAATCTAAACCACAAATAAAATGTATTGCTTATGCGGTTTACATAAAAAAAGAGTGAACGATATGATGAACAAGTATTGGTAAAATTCAAGTATACTGTCGACCATTCACAGTGGTCAAATCTAGTGGGACTCAAACGGTTATGGTGCAGATACATTGGCAAGTAATTTGCGACATTTTTCTGTGATAACGACTTTTCTGAAGTCTGTAGACGCGTCGCAGATTGCTGGCGGTAAGTTTATTTAATTTGCAACAGTAATAAAATGAAATGACATAAAATAGAAATGTAAAAACACTTCTGCGAATCGCTGCCAGAAAAGATGTCGCAAATTACTTGCTGGTGTATCTGCGCCATCATTAATATTCGTTGCAACGTTGAAAATTTTAAAAAGATTATTTGAAATTGATCAATCTCGTAAGGATATTAGCAAAATAATTCAGTTAATCTGCTGCGATTCGTATTCAATGGAATTCGAAAGCCCAGTATCTTTAAAAGTATGTCAATTCGAATGTATTTAATTATACATTCCGTTCCTACGTTCAAAAAACAATGAATGAATTTTGTTGGCGAAAAAAAGAGTTTTCTGGGACTCAAAGGGTTAAGAAAATTAACGCGTTCGCTCCAAGCGTCATTCAAATATCAATATTGAGGATTCTTGTTGAAATAAATTGATAATTGAAGTATAACGAACGTATTAATTTTAGAAGTTTTGTCTGGTGAAAGATGAACTGCATAATTTCTGTCAATTAGCAATGAGTGTTTAAAAGAAATATGGCAGATTCAACAGACTTTACATTTCTTTTTCATGTTTATGTTCCTTATGACTTACAGACGTTCGTACAGTTTATTCTTGTAAATTATATACATGAAACTTACTCTATATGCATTTAGAAGAGAGAAAGTAGTAATTGTATGTAACCAAGCATAATTTCTTTTAAGCAGAATTTTTCTGTGGTATAGTAAATGGTCTTTTGCGATTGTTACGATAAGCTTTACATTTATCTTTTGCAATTTTTATTTGTCTTAATCGTATTATGATTGCTAAATGTGATATAATTTACTATCTTTACCTATATACACGAAACTCATTGTACTTTTATGGATGTTCGAAAGAGTTGTTCTTCATATTTATTTTTCATATCTGTGACTTTTGCAATTTAATTCAATTAGCCGCTAAAACTATAATTAACTCTCATCAAATATAGGCATGTAAAAAGTATTGCAAGTGTGTTCAGAAGAGAGAAGGTAATTATAATCAAATCTTCCATACAAAAATTCCGATTAAAAGTTAAATTATGCACGGTTAAATATAGCTTCTGTGTTGTTCGAAATAATTTCCTATAAAACTGCAGGAGATTCACGAGACTTTATGGTCAAATTTGATCTGAACATCTTGATTTCTGTTTTACAATACACTAGATTGTATAGGTGCACATCTATCATCTAGTTTTTATTTTCTATAGTGGAATTGCTATGAAAACATTCGCGAAATATGAAGCTATCAATGTGACGTTGGTCACGAACGTGTTAAAGTCGTCCATTCAAATAAATCGGCTTCATTTGAAAAACGAATATTGCCAGTTCCGTTCTACTTCTTCCCTTCTTTAATGCTTCCTTCAAAAAATTGCGACTCGATCGGCAATTTCAATTAAAATGCAAAACAACGGTGACAACTGAGCCTCATCGATACACTTTTTACATAGAGGATCGTGGCTCGTTTAATCGTTTGAAGTGGAACACAAAGCACCGAGAACGACCGGCTGTTAATACGCTTTCTGTTTTATTCCTGATTGAATTATTCTCTCGTCGGACGAAACGGACTTTCATCCTTGTTACCAGTTTTCGCGAAACGGTCCATAAAATTGTGAACTCGTGCAGGCATCCGATATACAATATGGTTTCCCGCCACGCGAAACGTAATGAGGGATAAATGACGATATTATTCGAAGTTCATCGGTGTCCACTTTTTTTGTTTTTCTATTTCTTTATCTGATAGAAATTTTTGTTCCCTAATGTCAACCATGGTATTCTGAAAGAAAAATTGTTGGTTCGAGTTTTTTACGAATAATTAGTTATATACAAGCTCCGCCAGTTATCTAAGTGATTATCGTATGATTTTGATTAACATTAGAATTATTTATTCATTTTTATTAGATTATTTATTATTATTTTTCTTATTACCTGCTTCGGTGTGCAAAAATAAAGAGATCGCAGTATTTATACAATTTTTTTATGCGAAAAGACAAAAGCGTAACTCAATTTCCGAGCTGAAACGAAAGAAGCGCGATCGCGCCGCATGAAACTTTTCCACCGGATTTTGTTAAAGATCGGGGGTTGAAAACAGTTATGATATTGGTTTCGGTTCTTTAAACAGTTATGAATAACCGAAATAAAGTCATATTCCTAACTATTATTCGGTATATCAGTTATTATATATTATACATATTATGTTATGTTCACGTTCATGTTCATGTTCAGGTTGACGTTCATGTTGAATTTGATGATGATGGTAATGATAATGTTTATGTTGATATTACGTTATATCGGTTCTATATCGATTCTAAGACTGTTATTTCTCGGTTGTACAAAAATTCAGAACTGAAGAATAACAGTTATAGAACCGATATAAACCCGATATAATATCGGTTCTTCACCGAAAGCGATATAGGTTGTAACTTTATATTGGTTCTCTACAGCTGTTTCGATCGGGACCAATATATAACATTTCTAAACAATTATCTTTGGAAGCTTTTCAATGCCTGACAAAAACCCTTGGCACTCAAACGGTTAACTATGTAGAAAGTCGCGTGTGTTCGATTAACCGGGGCCTGCCTGGCCGATATTCGATGTAATGTAACAAAAGGCAGTTAGGGGAGCCCGGAGAAAGTGTAGTCGGTGCCGACTGATATGTGCTTATGAAACCGTTCGCGCCGTTTCCTAGTGTCCTGGCGTGTTCGCGGAGGAAACGACGGTCGCGAAACGAGATACTCGAGAAATTCCGTTACCGGTCGGCCGGGTCCATCGTGGAGCGTTGACGATTGGAAACAACTAATGGCTGCATTAACCGCGGGCGTTTCCTGGTCTACGAACTCACTTCGAGCGACGCCACCACCGAGAAACACGGCTGTTCACCGCGAAGCGAATCCGTTTGTTATGCGCTTCTTTCTCCGATAAATATTAAGATCGTCGTGGAAATTCTGTTTGTTCAGTTTTGATACTGTAGGAAAATTAAGAAGAATCTCTCTTTGGTGACCATTATGCACCTCTCACGTCCCGACTCAATCCTAAAAGTCACATGAGCAAGAGGACTCTTACACTGAGGATGCTCCTGTTAATAGATATTAAGATCGTCATGAAAATTCTGTTTGCTTAGTTTTGATACTGTAGCAAAATCGAGAGGAATCTTTCTTTGGTCACTACTATGCGCCTCTCACGTCCGGATTCAATCCTAAAAGCTAAAAAGTCACATGAGCAAGGGGACTCTTTTACTCAGGATTAAATTTCTCTCACCAGTGGTGGTTTTGCATGTTTATCGAATTTTGGGACTGCGGAGGCTCGGCTACTATGTTTCCTGGAAGGACCGAGAGGTGGAGCGTGCGGTCGATTCCCCCTGCCCCTGTGGACTTTTAGCTTTTAGGATTGACTCAGGATGTGAGAGGCGCATAGTAATTGTCCTCGAGGATCGTTTAACCCTTTCGAGACTATTGAGACACATATGCCCAAGTAAATTGGTCGATTGGAACATATATGTTCTAGGCTGTAACATTGCACTGAAGTAAAGAAAGTTAAATTTTTTTGTTTTAACCTATTAGTTTGAATAAATTCAAATGGAAATGTAGTATTAGAAATATAAATGTAGTCAAATAGAAATGGTATTAGAAATGTAGTCTGTCTATTTTATTTTCCTTATAAAGAGTCCGTGTCGAAAGGATTAACACTAGAAGTTGGCTAAACCTACCAAGGCTAGACCTACCTGACCAAAATATATCAAAGTGACCATTCTTGACTTTTTCCTTTAGCAATAAGAGATTTTGATTTAGCAATACACAAACTGAATTGCAAATCAATTGAAGTCTCAGTAGATGCACTCTTGAAGTTTCTATAAAGAAACTTGAAATTTATCAAATTTATCATATAACAAACTTTTATCGTATAACCTGTATTACTTTCGAGTGAAACATCTGTTCGATCAATCAATTTTTTACTCGACCACATCGGCTAATTTCTCTACAGCGTTAACAAACTTTCTGCGTGAAAAAGTATGAAATGCGTTCAGAAAAACAGAAAAGTAGGTGACTTTTAAACCTCCGAGGCTTCACTTCCGGTGCAAATGTATTTACGCGCCGCCGCCGGACGACCAGCACCGTTCGAAGCTTAATCTCGCGTGACGAAATTTCTTCTCGATTTTCCGATTCGTCGTAAGATTTCGTACGGTCCGAACGAAATTTCATTTTTTTCCCTTTTTTTCAGCAGGCAGACAAAAAAACCCGCGGCTCGCTGAGGGAAATCTCGGTGAGCAACAGTAGGTCATTACAGAATTTCTAGCGGGGCGCGGCGTCCGCTGTGTGTGACCAGAATGATTTCTTTGCGTGAAAGTCATCCTGGAATGGTACACCGAATCCTGGCCGGGTGAAATGGAAACTATTTGATCCGCGCGGAATGCGAACCCGCGC